GCGTGGACCCCACTAAATAAATTCAGCAGCAAGTTTCTGTGAATTTAAAATAAAGAAGGTTGTTAATTTGCACATACTTACCCCAAAAATATGTAATAGCCATTCATGTCTCACACACACACATGAAGATTAGTTACAGATAAAAGTACTAAAGATGCTAATACAAATTATGGTTAACTCATTCTCTGTGTTATAATTTGTGGTCTCCTATGAAGCATGTGGTTCATTTTTGGATTGTGTCAATGCTTTAAAATTGAAGTGAGGGTCTTTTAAAGTGAAGGTTTCTTAGCAAACTATTAAAGTTTCCTTTAGTCAAATTTCTCGACTGTTGGTTCTTAGATATACTTTAACGAGAACAGGTTCTATCTTTAGAGAACAGGTTCTATCTTTAGTTGCCTGACGTTGTTCCCAAGTCTGACCGTGAACTGGCTGAACTGTTGTTCAGTGGCTTCATTGGAACTAACTCCAAAAAGCTTCTACCTGTTCCTTTAAGTAGAGCAAGAACAACATGGTTGTATTACTTCTAAATTCAAAATGTGTAAATTCGATAAAACCTAAATGTCAGTACACTAATGACCAACTCACTTTGCAGGGGAATGTTTATTGGGGAACATTAAACATGTACCAGTAAGCCCTTTCATTCCCACTGTAATATTTTCTGTTTTCTGGTGGCACCTCAGGAACCTTTGTTCCAAGTAGTGTTGAAAACACTTTGTATCTCTAAAGATTATTATTTTTCTCATTGGAGCTTCTGATAGAAAAGGATTTATTTGTGCAAGAAACCTTTACAAATTTTTGCCCCACCCCCTTACATTTGTTAAGGCATGATAGACAGAATTCTGACTACAGCCCTCCCTGTTGATCTTTTGGTGAACCAACAGTTTCCTTTGATGCTTCTGGTGTATCCTTTCCTTTTTAAAGTTGCGGCTTGATCTGTCTTGTCTGCTCTACTCTCTTTTCTTCTTGAGGCTATCTGTGTTCCATCTAACCCTTTCTTATCTGGCCATTGCTGTTGGGAGTTACTATATCCAAATTTGTTCAGCTCATAGACACTTAGGATTGTAGCTTTTGTCTATTCATAGCTGGTACAGTTGTCTGTGAGCAGTATTTGATAAACATCATATGGGCCTTTACTATTAACTGGCCTTGTGTTGGAAGAATGCAAGACTTTGCTGGCTGTTTTAACTAAATGGCCAATTTTTCAAAGGCAACGTTCCACATCCTCTTCTTCAATCTTAAGGACAAATTGGAAATAATTTAGGAATTCAGAGATTTTTTTCTGGGCTAAGCATATTTAAGTAAACAATGGGTAAAGTCAAAAGTACATGAACTGAAGATGCTAGAAATCAGAAACAGAAGAAATTGTTGGAAAAACTCAGCAAGTCTGGCAGCATCCATGGGAGCAAAGCAGAGAAGATGTTTCTGGTCCAGTGATCCATCTTCAGAACTGGGTCTGGTGGGAGTTATAATGTCCAAATTTGTTCATGTTTAGAGTTTTATAAGCTAATTCATCGTCATCAGAAATGAAGCCTACACCACTGCCTTTAAAAAGCCTTTGTTTTGAGGCTGTATGGAAGACAGATTTTGAACCCATCCAGTAAGACTACATAAAAGATAAAATTCAGCAAAGTATTTTATCTAATATGACAATGCTCATGTTAACTCTAATAACATGGTAATCATGCTATCGATGAATACAACATTTGTTTATTGCAGCTAGCTATTATATACCAACATTATATTTCTCAGACATTTCTAATGAATGAGCTTACATTAAGCTAACAGGTTACATCAGAAAAACATGATTTCAGTGGCATGTTATGCCTTAAATAATCAAGGGTAAGATGGCATTTGAGACCTTTATACCTTCAGGTCACATGCTATAATAAGGTGGTGATATCCTGAGCATGTCTGTTAAAGGAATACTGACATATTCACCATGAGACAGAACACAAACAGTAATTTAGTCTGTTTCAGGTTCCAAATCCTTCACCTTTTCTGATTCGGAGGTGAGGCCCAGTTGCTCAGCCAACACCTTTAGTGTCCTGGGCTTCCATGCTTTATAACGTATATTTCAGTTCTACCTGTTTAGCTATGGCCTCTGGTATTTGTTTAAAGACATTAATTTTGGTCAAGTTAAGTCTTCCTTTAGCATAAATGTTTTTATGCTGACAATAGCCATCTTATTATCTATTGTTAGAGTTGACAAAACCTATTGCTTCCCTTTTATTTTTGTTTCAACAGTATTTTGCTTTGTCATGTTCCATACTCCTGCTAATTTTCCTTTAAAGTCAGATTTATCTCTGACTCCAGTGGGCTTTTATTCCAGATTGCAACAAGAATTCAGGGAGAATTAACTGAGAATTAAAATGACAAGCAGCTGAGGCTCAGGGTTAAGCTTGTGGACTCATTTGACCTCTCCAGTGACAAGATCCTGCCTTGTGAGCAATGAACAGTGTAATAAATTGAAAGAAGTACAAAAGATTGCTGCTCCATCTGTGAGGAATATTTTTGGGCCTAGATGGTGGGAAGGGAGGAGGTAAAAAAAAGCGCAGGTGATGCATCTCCTGCACTTAATAGGAAGGCAAATATTTTCATTATTTTCGAGAAGGCTAGAATACAAGAATGGCATGTACTGCTGAAGTTGTAATAGACATTTGGAATATTGTGAGCAGTCTTGAGCCCCGTATCTAAGGAAGGATGAGCTGGCCTTGGAAGGGATTCAGAGGAGATTCACAAGAATGACTCCAGGAATGAAGTGTTTGTCATATGAAGAGCAGTTGAGGACTCTGGGTCTGTACTTGGAGTTCTGAAGGATGAGGAGGGTTCTGATTGAAACTTACAAAATACTGAGTGGCCTAAATAGAGTGGATGTGGAGAAGATGTTTCCACTGAAAGGAGAGATCAGAACCAGAGAGGGCACAGCCTTAGAGTGAAGGGATGACCCTTAAGAATGAGATGAGGAGGAATTTCTTCAGCCAGAGGGTAGTGAATCTGTGGAACTCATTGCCACAGAAAGCTGTGGAGGCCAAGGCTTTGAGTGTAATTAATACAGAGATAGATAGGTTCTTGATTAGTAAAGGGGTCAAAGGTTATGGGGACAAAGCAGGAGAATGGTGTTGAGAAATGTATCAGCCATGATTGAATGCCGGAGCAGACTCAATGGGCCAAATGGCCTATTTCTGCTCCCATATCTTATGGTCTTATGGTAGTGATTGAAGAGTCAATCAGGATGTCAAGGAAGGAATGTTCCCTTTGGAATGCTGACAGGTAAGTATGTCTTTGGTGGTGGTGAAAATTACAGAGGATCATCCATTGATTGCGTCAGCTGATATTCTTGGAAATAAAGACAAGAGGAAAGATATCATGGTGCTGGTAGGGAGGAAAGGAGATCGAGCAGATGTGTGAGAAATGGAAAACAAAAAAAGCTTAACTAGTCATGTCAGAACTTTGCAAGAGATTCTAGCTTGTAAGTTAATCCTTTGTCACCCTTTTTAACTCAAACTGCTTTTGTGGAACATTTTATTAAGTGTAGGATTTTGTTTTAGTGGCAAAAATGTTGGATGTTGGAGGGGCTCAGTCTTTGTAAATGATGAGCATCTGAACAATTGCCAATTCATCATCGAAGATCCCAGTTTTTTATATGTCAATCCACCATTGATTACATAGAAAATAATGAGTATATGTTTGTTAAATAAGGCATATCTATCAAATCTAAATAAAAACGCATGCCCATTGTTCACAATGGATTTAATCAATGTCCTTAATGCTGACAAAGACATGTCAACCCTAAATATGACACAAATTGCCATAAACAAAATGAAACAGAGCTTGCAGCTAGGGTCATTAAGCAGTCATGCAACAAACATTAAATTAAGCAAGTAAGCTTGAAAGTGAAGCACAACTGCTTCTGTGGTCTGACAGGTTGCTGAGAACTAGACTGTGATCAGAGTGCCATGAAAGAACACTGCATGCAATTGGTGGCAGCGCCTTACACCCTTCGGTTTATCCCAAGAGATCACAATAAGTGGTAATTTACAAATATTGATTTTTTTTTGTTTAGGTAGCTGAAAGGCTGCTGCTCGGTCTCTTGCTTCCTTCATTGTTTATCAATTGATGCTGGACAATTCAGTAATACTGCTGCACCCCACAACCTTAGAAGATTATCATAGAATTGTAAAACCCTGACACACAATTCAAAGAGCTTGATTCACTTTGTTGTTCTTTCAGGAAAGATTCCGCTTGGTTCAAGCTCTTAGGAGAGCACTTTCTTTGTAGAAATATTGCAGAGATTGTATTTGGTCTTAGTGATTGAGATCACAGCACTCATAACTTTTGCAGCTGCCTCCATCACAATGTAGTTTTCTCGGGACAATGGGATTTTTTTTTTCAGAATTGTGTGCAGTTGCTCAGACTGTGGTGTTATTGGTCATCTTTTTAGAAATACCCTGTTATACAACCAATATTGCCCTTTAAGGAATAAAGTTGTCTTTAACATTCATACCATTCTTGTGAGAGGAAACCATGTGCTTGTTCTCATTTAAAAATCAGTTGACTGATCACTTTTGTGAAATGTTTAGCATTTTCGTTCTCCCCATGCCACACATTTTGAATCTGGAGTGAACTTTTCTGCAAATGACTTACCTGAAGCAGAAAGATACATAAGTTGTGCATTTTTCAGACAAGTGAGAACATCTGTAAATTTTCCTAAATTGCCAACCAAAGAGCACTAATGGCTTCCCCAGCAAACCAAAGCTGTCAGGATCAGGAGATCAGGGACAGGAAAAATAATGTTTCCTCCTGAGCCAGGAGGAACAGGAGTGCCCCTCGCTTCATTCACATGAACCTCTGTCCTCTCCTTAGAAACTAGCTCTGGATCTAAACTGAAGAGTTTGTATTGTATTCAGTATTTACATACACCTGTTGTGTTTAGAGTGAATGATCTCCCAACAGGTCTGATGTTTCATTTGTTTCTTTTTCCTTTCATCTTTTTCCCACAGGAATCCCCTTTCCCAAGAACTTTCTTCAGATTTGCAAGAAGATTCTGTGTCGACTCTTTCGAGTCTTCGTCCATGTTTACATTCATCACTTTGATCGGCTTGGCACTATGGGAGCGGAGGCACATGTTAATACCTGCTATAAACACTTTTATTACTTTGTAACAGAATTTAACCTTGTAGACCGCAAGGAATTAGAACCTTTGGTATGTACTACTCTCAAGCATCTTTTGCATGATCTATTATTAATTTAAAAAGCATTAATTCATATCTAAATAAGGTAAAAATAACTTATGTAGATCAGGTTGCTCGTGTCAAGTACCATTTCAGCCTCCTCTGACTGACATACCGTCCTCCAAAACAGCTGTTTCATCCCAATCAGAGACAACAAGGTGCAGGGCTGGATGAACACAGCAGGCCAAGCAGCATCATAGGAGCAGAGAGGCTGACGTTTCGGGCCTAGACCCTTCATCAGAAAAGGGGGAGGGGAAGGGGGTTTTGAAATAAATAGGGAGAGAGTGGGAGGGTGTTTCATCCCAATGGAAGTATTGAGAAGAACAGAAAAAAAATTCACCTTGCTAACTTATAAGTGGATGTATTCAAAAAATGAAAACATTCCATAAGTATAATTTTTAACTAATAGAAATATAGATTAAATGGCCAGATTTTTCTGTATGGAAACTGATTGGAATAACAAAGTGAGAACAAGCATTTTGGAATATTTTGAGGATGTCATCTGTATAAATTTTCATTTTCTCTATCCCTTTTCAGTTCTATCCTTTTTTGTTTCAAGAATTTGTGGTCTTGTTTAATTGTTGGTACGTGTCACTTTCAATGTAATCAAATCATTACATTTTGCATTGCAAGATATTGATGATTGGGACATACAAAGAACTATACAGCACAGGATCAAGCCCTTTGGTTCTCCAAGCCTGCGCTGACACATTTTGCCCTTCCATACCAAAACAGTCTTCAGTTACAGGATCCATAACCCTCTCTTCCCTTCCTATTCATGTATTCATCCAGGTGCTTCTTGAATGCTGCTATTGTGTCTGCTTCCACCACCTCCTCTGGCAGCGCATTCCAGGCATTCACTATCCCTTGTGTGAAAAACTTGCCTCACACATCTCTTTTAAACTTGCTCCCCAGCACTTTGAACCTGTGTCCCCTAGTAATTGACCCCTCCACCCTGAGATAAAGCCTCATACTTTCCATAATGTAGTTAATGTACTGAAAGGCCCCCTTCACTTCACAAGAAAATGAGACAAGTTGTTTTCTGACATCCATTCTGGATGAGCCATCACTTCCCACCTGGGAAGATCAAACTCATTTTATTCACTCAAAAACTCAGCACTTTTCATGTCAGTTTAATTTGCTTCCTTGGCTTGCATTCAATTACTCAGATCCTCCTTATTCTACTGACCTTCCAGCCTCATTTATTCCATATCTAAGTTTGCCTTTTTTCATCCCCATAACATTGCAAGACTTCTAACATCTACTGTTGAACCCTTTGTCCACTTCTTTATCATTTCCAAACCAAACAAATCCAAGGGTCTCCAGATCAGTCTTAATTTCTGCCCTCCCTTTCTTCTTTTAATATCTCCCTTAAATCCAGCTCTTAGAATAAACATTTTATTTGCCTCAGATATAACACATTGTGGAGCACAGCAGGTCAGGCAGCATCAGAGGAGCAGGAAAGTTGACGTTTTGGGTCGGGACCCGTCTTCAGAAATGGGGGAGGGGGAGGGGAGCTCCGAAATAAATAGAGAGAGGAGGGGTGGGGCTGGGGAAGGTAGGTGGGATGGTGACAGGTGAGTGCAGATGGGCAGTGGTGGGGTTTGGCCAGTGAGGTGGGAGGAACGGACAGGTTGTGTCAGGTCAAGGAGGCGGGGATGAGAGGGAGGGTTGGTCATGGGATGAGGCCAGAGGTGGGAGATTTTGAAACTCGTAAAGCCCACATTGACACCATTGGGTTGTAGGCTCCCAAGGCGGAATATGAGGTGCTGCTCCTCCAGTTTCCAGGTGGTGTCATTGTGACACTGTGTTATCTCTGATTCCAGCATTGGCAGTTCATACTATTTCTGATTTTATTTGCCTCATCTCTTTTTCACTCAGTCAGGATCCATTTCTCTCAAGTTATTTTGAAGGACCCTGAGTTGATTTCTTCTATTTTTAAAGTTGCTATATTAAGAACATTTGAAAGAGTGAAGGGTCTTCGCCACAGATGTTTGTTATTTCCTAAAATCAATAATGTTCTAAATTAAAGGTAGTATACTGCTGTTATTCCTTAGTCTCATTGCTTTCTTTCATTGGACAGAAGGAAGCCATTTAGCTCCCAAGCTTGTTCCACAATTCAGTGAGTCCATGACTGATTTGTAGTCTATCCTTCTAAAGTAAGATAGCCAAAGACACAGAGGAAGAACCTGGGATTCTGTATTCAATCCTGTGGGGGAATTGACAGGCATAGACTTGTCAACTTCTTGCAACAGAAATGCAATAAAATGACAATTCAATATCTGCAGGATTTGAGTTCCCGTTCATGCTCCTTGCTGTTAGGCAATGGAAATGGATATTTGTGTCAGATCTGAATATTCCTAATGTATAACAACATCTGAACTTCATGTGTTACTGTTACTTTCTAAGTGTGATCGTGGACCCAATCTTTCCCTTCCCACCCCCACACCACCGTGCAATCTATTTTTATAAAGATACAAGTGGACCCAACAATGTTAAATGAAAAGAGAAATGAAACAATGTTTAAAGGTTTACACAAGATGCAAAAATGAAACAAAATCTCTCCATTTCTGAAAAGAAACATGACCGCATTTGGTTGCTTTGATTTATTTAACAAAATGAAATTGTGTTATTTTAAGGCAGGTGATTGCACTCAGTACTGTCAACCAATTTGTCAAATTTACCAGTACAAAATGAGTTTGTGACTCAGTCCTGCGCAGCTGTCACACAGTAGATATTTGGTGGATCTAAGCAATTGTTTTTTCAAGGAAATTAATCAGTGCAAGTCAAAGAAATGCCCAAGTAAAGCAAACAAGTATATGATACTCAATTGCTGTGAATTAATTTGTATAGACTAGGTAGTTTGCATCAGGACAGCACAATCACCTCTTCAATTTAGAGTTTAGAATGCAGCAATACAGATAAGATTGCTGCATATGGTGCATCTTTCAAATTATTTATTCCCTACTCATTTGGCTACAAGATTAAGCCTTGAAGGAGCTGATTTGTTGGACAAAGATAGTTTAATATTTCAGGTTGAAGATGTTATTACAGGGAAATGGCCAAACCCCTCTGATAGTTAAACCAAAACACAAGTTCCAACCTGTTATGACGGGAGTAGAGGTTCCCTTCTAATAATTGCCTCCGAAACACCCAGAGGGGCTTGTCTTTCCCCTTGTATTCAGTTAAAGCAGTGGTTAAAAGAAAATTCCTGATCTCCACTTTACAAATAACAAGAAGTAATTTATTTATTTAACCCAACAATGAACAAATTAACAAAATTACTAACAAACCAACAATTGCCCCCTTAGATTACTAACTACTGATTAATTGGTCTAAATTCTACTGGAATGCTGTTCAAATAAAGACAAGTCCGACTAATATAAACCCAATTAATAAGAAGCAATATATTAACACTTAATCTCTTCAAGTTCACACAGACTATCTTCTGGAATATTCTGTCTTCTCCAGTCTCTTAACAAACACCTTTCTTCCATTAATTCTGCTGTCAGGGATGTTTTATCTCTATAGTTTCTTCAATGAGGACTTTGAGTTAAAATACCGTAGTAGCTTTGATTAATTAGATGGGCTTTCTGTGAGAGTTGACTGGTGCTAACTGGCAGGTGGTGGTTCACTCTGTCACTCTCATGGCACTTGACTGTCTCTTAAGTTTCCACATGCTCTCGTCTTATATACCGGTAATGACATAAGATGTTTCAGGTTGTCAGTACCATCAGATTTAAATTCATTTGGCTTTCTGTATCTAGGTGATTTGTTTAAATTAATTGACCAAATTAAAACTTGTTGTCTCGGAAAAACAAATGCTTCTTGGCTGTTCTACACAAAATGTTTCTATTTGGGCAGTCTCCGTGCACCTGCATTTACTAACTTTCAAGCACAGTCAAAGCACAAGCTCTTAAAGGAACCACGGCACTCTTTATCCCACGATCATTTTTACCAACAAATTCTAACTTCCTGTCTTCCAGTTCATGAATACTGTACCCAACTTCATAACAAAACTTTCAAAATTTTTTCTCTATGTCTTAGCCTTTTCTTAAAGTCTAACGTAAGGCTGACTCTTTTCTTTGCCTAAATATCAATCTCGTTGAGATTCACAGAGGGTTTCTCTCCATGAGACCTGGCAAGTTTTCTTGCTGTGTCTTACGAAATTCACCTAATTAACTACCCATGTCCAATTCTTGTCCCATTCTACCACTCACCCTACCTACAACAACTTGCCACAGTCAAACTATTCTGGAATGGATTGGCATCCATGGTGCTGACACCATCTTTAAAGTGCTGTCACATACCCGGACAATCACTTATTCTGGAGCTGCCCTGGACAGCTCCTGATATTTTCCCCAGACATTGCAGAATAGAGGAAATTGGTACCCTATTTTGTGAACAGGGATCTGGAGCCACCCATGTCAGTGTGGTTTTAGCTGTCTGGAGGAATGAACAGTATTGTAGGAATACTTGGCTCCATCAGTGTAAGTGGCACCATCTTTATTGTGATACCTCACACTCACTGTATCTCTATTGTACTCATCTTCCACCAAAGCTCATACTCTACCACTCTCACGGTTGTATGCAATATCTTCCCCTAGTTGCTCGTACTCTCTCCAACTCTCACACAATTAACCCTACATTGCCTCTTCTCTGCCTACTCACTCATTTGGGCAAGCACCCCCTGCCCCCCAACCAACCTTTACCCTTGCATTAACAGTAACAACTGTGCCACCCACTTTCATCTCTTTTAATACCTGCGTCCTCCCATCACGCCCACCGCAACCTCCCCCCCCAACTCACGTCCCAGGAGGAATACAGCCCACAACAGGGCAGGAAGAGTCAAGATGGTTATTGGGCTGTTCAACATTTGGCTCCTCACCTCTTACAAGGGGAAGACTTGACCCTGAAAGACCTGAGCAACTGACTGACCATGTCCAAGCCTCTGGACTGGTATTGGAGGATG